CCGGCCGGACTCGGCGCCCGCCCCAGCTCGGCCCCGTCCCACGCCGGACCCCGGTCCTGCCCCACGCAGGCCCCCGCCTCGCTCCCCGGGGTGCGCCTCACAGCGCCCTGGCGCTGGCCCACCCGCGGCCCTGAGCTTTCCCGTCAGCCCCGTTCGCATCGCCTGGCTAAGCTCTGGCCTAAGCTCTGCCCGCCCTGTTAGGAGGGACGCAGCCCAGGTCAACCCGGTCAGACCCTGCATCTACCCTCACCCTTCCGGCCTCCCTAGGCACGCAGCCCCGCCGTGCCCGCGCGTACAGCGCAGCCCGATCAGCCCGGCCCCTTCCACACACCCTGCTGGGCCAGCTTGCGGAGGCCCTCTTCTCCTGCTGGGCTTCCCAGCTGCGTCAGCTCTCCTCAGTAGCAAAGCCTGGCCTTGCCAGGCACAGCTCTGCCCTTCCATCTAAACGGCTCTGCTGACCACGCTATGGTAGCTCACCTGAAACGTCAGCCACGGTTTGAAGCGGGGTGCCCCAAAACATCAGCATGCGACAGCAGCAGCGTTCAGCAGCTCTGCCACAGCGATAATCGTGCCCTGAAAGTTCCCTTCCCCTCAGCGCGTGTTAAGCTCATCTATTACTGTTGCTCTGCCTAGTTCTTGAACAAGAGTCAGAGTACTGAAGATGCCGCCACGTGTCCGTTTTAACGTCCCATGAATTTTGCTGCCAGGGCACAAGCTTACTACTTAAGCACAAATTAAGTAATTCCATAGACCAATAGCCTCTGTTAGGAAAAGCATCACCAACAGGTAAGGGAGGCGATCCTTCCCCTCTTCCCAGCGCTGGTGAAACCACATCTAGAGTACTGACTCCAGTTCCGGCTTCCCCAGGACAAGGAAGACCTGAACATAACGGAACAGGTTCAGCGAAGCACCGAGCAACATGTACGGGCTTGGAGGACAGGACAGGAACCAGTGGGCAATGGACTGAAATTCATGAACGTCCACTTAAACCTAAGAAGAAACACTTTTACTCTGAGGGTGGTCAAACGCTGGAACAAGTTGCCCAGAGAAGCTGTGGAGTCTCCGTGCTTGGAGATACTTCACGCCTAAGGAGACACAGTCCTGGGCAACCCGCTCGAGTTGGCCCTGTGATGAGGAAGCAAGGGTGGACTAGAGACTTCCAGAGGTCCCTTCTCAATGATTCTGCGAGTCCATGAAAAAGTATATTCGCATAAATTTTTTAAAGGGTCTGTACGAAAGGGAGACTAAGTGAAAGCTGGTTTTATTGATTATTAATGTCACCGTTCAACAGTTACAGAAATAACTACATAGGTGAATGCCAGACATAAATTACAAAACAAGAGGTTTTATAACAAACAGTTATAGTTCTAATTATTAACATTTATTTGCATTACTTCACGTGGCCACTCTGCAGTTAAACAATGAGAAGACACTTAAAATAATATTTATATGTACATTGTGGAGTGCAGGACTGGTTTTGTTCCCCCTAAAAATGCCCCAGTATTTTCTGCACAGTCCCACAATCCTCCCTCAAAAAAATCTCATAAACTTATTCTTTCCTGTAAGACCCATTCTGATAAGAAAAATAAACCACAATTATCGTACATCATCAAAGAATCTGGCTGCACCTCTTTAAGGCTATAGTTCAGTGGTTCCTGTAATGGCTCCCCTGATTTAAGATTTCTGGTCTTTGTTACTGTCTCTGCTAACTGTGGTTTGTTAGGGCTTGTGTATCTGTGGGTTTAATTTATTGCCTCTCCTGTTTCTTGTCTTGTCTTTTTTTTTTTTTTTTAACGTTGAATAGACACTAGTCAGATTGCCTTACGAGTAGCATTACAGAGGTACTTATTTTTCCTCTAGTTTCAAAATTTGAGTGATCAATTCTGTAAAAAAAATTCTTGAAATACTTGACCTTAATGCTTAATCACTGGGCAAGAGCTCCAAAATTCAGTCCTTTATTTAAACTACTGCTATCTGTTCTTTTGCAGGTATTTATTAGCCGCTTCCTTTATAAGAAAGATTATTTCTGTGAATGGTGCTGAAAAAAATACAGGTTTAGAACACCTGAAGACTCTGACGCTGTGATTCTATAGTCACTTCAAGATAACCTCGCTGCAGGCTGCCACTGGAACGTAAGGAATCTCTAACCTCTTCAAATCCTCTCCAAACAGGACAGTCTATCTAGTTTTCACACCTGCCTTTCCAAAGCGTTGCAGTCTTGCAGTCCAGAAAAGCTTGGGAAATAATAGCGTATTCAAACAACCTTCCACTGAATAACTGTTCGCATGTATCCTCATTTCTGGCAAAACAAAGCCTGACGATGGAGTAGGATCTGCTCTGGGTTCCATTTAGCACTGGGCATTCCCAGCCATCGCTTTTTCTCTCTGTAGCGCACAGGAAACTCTCAGGCAGCTGCAATAAGGTACCTCTGCTGCCACTCTGCATCTTGGCATCCTGCATCCCTATTAATCGCTTTTTTCTTCATACTATTTTTTGTACTTCAGTCATGGACAGCCAATCATGGCCTTTCCCTTTGGACCCCATTTATCCCAGATAGGTTTAACTCTTATCCCCTATGTCTGCAATAAGGTTTAGATCCCTATTCATTTTTGCTGTCTTCTCTAATTACCCAGCTTAGTTACGTGTTCTGTGCATACAGGGTCAGAATGCCCTGGAGGAATCCAGATGGAGCTGTCTCAATTGAGTAAGTATATGTATTTTACGTATATATATTGAAAGATAGATGTGTGTGTGTATATATATGTAAAAGACTCCTACTGCTCATATACTTGATGATACTCTTTTGTATATGGTTGTATGTTAGGCTACGGATTGCCAACAGCAAAAGTTGCCTTTTGGCTCCCAGCATCAGATCAAAGTCACAGTGGTCAAATGAGACAAGTTACTGCCCTGGTCTTAAAAGAAAGAAACACAGAGACAAACATTCTGCCCTGCCCCTCCCCAGCGCAAGTTCGCAGCTGCACCCTCGGTGCTAGCCCACATCACTCCCACAGCCCTGATCCGCCCGCGCTTGCAGCAGGGAACTTTGTGCGAAGCTCTGCAGAAACCCCAAGGGAAGCAGCTGCACACTCGGGGCAGAGAATGCAGACCGCCCCATCCCACATGGTTCTGCTGCACCAGACCAGCCAGGCAGGAAAAAGGGAAGTCAGGCTTTCGGAATGGGCCTCCTCAATCCCCTCTGCTTCCAGGCTCTACTTTGGCATCCTGACCTCGCTTCAAACGGCCCAGCAGGTGCCTTGGATACTGCCCTGCACGTGCACCATCTGCGGGACTCCCCGTGGAAGCCGGAGAGCAAGTGACATAAGAGCATGGAGCACAAATCCTGCCCAGGTCTGCTGACAGCCATGACACGACG